GCACCAGCACCAGCCACAGCCACAGCCACAGCCACAGCCACAGCCACAGCCACAGCCACAGCCACAGCCACAGCAACAGCCAGAGCAGCCACAGCAACAGCAACAGCCAGAGCAGCCACAGCAACAGCAACAGCCAGAGCAGCAACAGCAACAGCCACAGGGACAGGGACCGGGACCGGAACAGCAGCAGCAGCAGCAGCAGCAGCAGCAGCAGCAGCAGCAGCAGCAGCAACTGGCAACAGTGACAGCAACAGCAACAGCAACAACAACAGAAGGAACAACAACCGACGACAGTCGGCAGAGTATCGTGTCAGCATGAGCAATGCCACTTACTGTAAGAGAACCGAGGTATAGGCACAGCAAAAGCAAGATCATGATCAACAGAACCGGAATGTACAAGATGGCAACAGTTCAGCAGTAGCTCAGAAGAGGCTGGTATTTGCTAAAGAGACAGAGCAATGGTTCGCTACACCAGCTTGGGGCAAGACGGACACGGAGGCACCGGCCGAGCTCGGCCTCAGAAAAGGGAGCCGGGCCAAGCGAGCAATCCGGAGCCGGGCCAGGGGCTTAGGGCCTTTGAGGGGTTGTAGGTTTCTTTTTTTTGTCACCTCTTTTCCACCTGCCTGAGTTAGTTAGGACGGTTTAGGGTTTTGGCTTCCGCTAGGGCTCTTTAGGGGCAAGGCCAACTTAATTGAAGCCGTTAACGTGATGAAGTGTGGAGATTTAGGGTTGAAATCAGCCTCTATGGGAGTTTCCTGCTTCAGGGTTGCTTGGACTTTAGTGCTCAGGGCTAGGGTCTTCAAAGGAGGACGCGCATGGACGCAGGGAAGACGAATCGACGAGGGCTACAACGAGATTACGGAAGAGAGAACTGTCAAAGGTACTCCAGCGAAACCCGTGATGCAATCTACAAACGTGTGTGCCGGCCTTGTTGAGGCCGGAGTGCGTGCCTGACTGGCGCCCGTGCCTGTCAAGGGCTTGCGGCTGAGGGCTTCAGCGCTAGGGCCTCGCCTTCGCTTGGGGTGCCCCGAGTTCGCGAGTCCCGCAGGCATGAGCCCTCTTGCAAATGGAAGTGCAGTTCAGATGCACATCGATGCCGCATGGCTCCTGCCCGACGAACCATGCAAACCTTCGGAACAAATGTCCAACCACGGCTGCATGGCCATTAATTAACGATTCCGTGCGCCAGGGCCGGCAAGCCAAAACAGCTTGAATGAAATCACAAACCTGCCTTGCCTGAGCTCCGGGCGGAGGATACCTGCAGCTGGCAGAATGCAACGGTTTGCAAGTGCATGATAATGTTGCTCGCGCGCATGTGTTCTCATTACGAAGCACGCCAGATCCCTGAAAAAACCAACCTGCGTTCGAGCCCGACCCGAGTAAGCCACCGGAATGTGTCCGCCGCCCAGCACTCTCCGAACTTTGGATCCGCGTAGCCAGTCAGAAGTGAATCTACCCTTCGGATGCTGATGCATCTCTACATGCATGACATCACGGCTGTGTCGCTGCCTCTGAGGTGCCCAGGCTCGGTCGCAGCCTAGCCATCTATTTGGGTTGTGTGAATGCTGCCGAGACGATCCTCCACCCAGGTGGTGTTGCTTTCGCTCCGATTTTGGCTTCAAGCTTCGACGGATGGAAGGAGGTGAGTTTTCGACTGCTTCTGATCTGCAGTGGCACACTGTGCAAGGGTTGATGCTGGGTCAGCACAGCACAACCATCGACAGCTTGAACAGGTATTATTTTCGAGCATCATGCCGAAACAGTGTAGTCTCGGATGACCCACGGGCGGAAGCTCTGCACTTCAGCTCAGGGGCCCCAAAGGCCCTCACCCCGCCGAAACCCCGAAGCCCGGCCTTGCCTTCTCCGAATTCCGATCCTGCGAAGGAGCCCTCCCCACCTCCTTTGTAGCGGCGAGGGCGAGGCTCCGCGGGCAGAGGTCGGTGCTAGCGTGAGACGGTTCGTCATTTTTGCTTTGGCTTTTTGTTAGGGCGTCCTGCTGTACCGATCGATGCTCAACAGAGAGAGCTTCTGTGATTTCCCAGCAGCCCTCTTTTGGGACCGGGGCAGGGCATCCTTACGATCACATCGCACTGCACTTACTGAGGAATGCTTTCAATGGACTGATCATGAGCTTCGTCGTGCTGAGCGTGAAGATGCAGATCATCGCTCGGGTTCCAGTCTAGTTCGGATCTGGAAGGCAGTGCTCCGAGCAACACGGTTGTGGCAACACGGGATGCATCTCTTGAGGAAAGCCTGTAAAGTAGGGAATACCAGTACTCGAAGGTGCACCCGTGCGGCTTCGTTGGTCCTTTATGACTCGAGTCCTTTGGCGACGGGTCTAATGAGGCTTGCATTTTCGGATACCGCTACGGCATTTCTAAGCTCAGGCGAGCAAGGTTGAACCCATCGCAAACATCGAAGGCATGGGAGGAGATGCGAACTGCGAGAGGGGAAGTGCATGGAATGACGTTATCCAAAGGTTGACGGATCTCCCGGATGCGAATCTCGAAGGACCCGCTTTTCTCTCCAGGGCCTCGCGGCGGTGGCTCGGGCGAGCTTCGGACGGTACCTCGGCACCGATTCTTCTGAAAGCGTGTCGGCTTCTCTACCGGAGGAGAAGGAGCTTGGCTACCTCGTTCTGCTTTTGAACGTCTGTGTCACAGATGCAGACTCCTTTACGGGCGACATGCAACGAGTATCCTGTGATTCAAGTTACAGAGAGCCCGGTCCGAATTTTGGATTTCAGGCTCTTTGGTTTGGCCAGAGAGGGATTGGATCTTTGAATCTTGGGGTTTCCGACTCGGGACTCAGGGCTCCGAAGCTCTGAACGCGGGCTCTCTCTTTTCCCTGGGCCCTGGGTGTCCACGCTCTCTGCAGGCCCATCCTCACCGGGAGGCCTGCAGTTCGACAAAATTCTCGAAAAATAGACCGTGCAGATGCGTGGAATCCAGACCTCTACATTGTTACATCAGACCCTCTGTTCAGCAAGAGCATCACAGCCATCTTTGTGAACCTAACTCGACCTGAAGGCACGCTCGCTGAAAACCCCGTCTTGCATTCTGATCCAAAGCCCACACTGCAGGAAGATGCTCTGCAACCTCAACCACAAGCCACCTGAACATCAACGAAACCTTGACGTCGTTGCCAACCTCAGGATGCAGCCTCGATCCATGACCCCATCACCCATCTTCACCTTCAAGCGCCACTAGAGTTCACTGCGCAGAACCCAATTCTGCCCCTGCCTGGGCGGCCGTCCGGCAGAGACCGGCGAGGAGGCCTTGAGGAATCTTCGGGAGGAGATGAGGGAGCCAAGCAGGGCGACACGAAGAGCTTGGCGCTGCTGAGCCAAGGAGATGAAGAAGCCAAGGCGGGAACCACAGGTATTGTGGGAGACGTATCACGGACCAGATATTTCGCCCGAGATGCTGCAAAGAAGGATTGCGGATGTGGAGGCATTCGGCAAGACTGACTCACAAGGTTGGGTCTACTCGATCGGCGATGGCTTGGGGAATTACCGGCGCGAAGGTTCGACCTGCAGAGGTCTTTCCATTCTTCATCTGGTGTTGCTGCGTGTCCAACGCAGGTGAACTTTTTCCGAGCCGCTGCTTTGGGTGCGGGTGAAGTTTTACAGACAGTTTGTGGATGTGGTTCAGCCGACACATGAGTGTCTTTTGAGCGCCTCTTCCTTGCGCCTTCACGGTTGCAAGAATAGGCTAGAATTCCTTCTGGGCGGCATGCATAGTCAGCACCGTGTCTCTGCTTGTTATCAAGAATCTTGCTGTTTGAGTGTCCAAACCTGCTCCAAATTTTGGCCTACCTGTCTACCATTCTGTCCAGTAGCTTAGGTTTGCATGTATGTACATACGCATGTATGTATGCTTTGTGCGTATGTGCGTGCAGGTGTGTATTTATATTTGTATGCATGCATGCGTGCATGTGTGCATGCATGCATGGACATGATGTATGGATCTACGTATGGAAGAGTTATGGAAGTGTGGATGGATGTAACAACGTACGGATGTATGGATGTATTGGATGTATTGGCTGTATGGATGTATTGATCGATGGATGAATGGATGGATGGATATTTGGAAGATGGATGGATCTGTCCGCTTGTGTGTGTGTGTGTGGTCTGTGGGTGCGTCCCTCCGCATGCAAAGCTGCATGCATGTATGTGCATGCAAACACAGCTGAAAGATGATGTACAGGTGCGCGTACTGCGAATTTGTTACAACTTGTGCCGCACCCCAGCATGTTTTGGGCGTGTCTTATGTGGGCACGTTGCACACACCCTAAAGCATTTGAGGTGGAATTTCAGAGCTCTCACAACCCTGGAACACCGAGACTTTCTGCCGTGACTCACAGCACTCAACGAGCTCCCGACCAGGTCGTAAGCCGGACAAAGAAAGCCAGGCTTCGTCTCTCCCTTCCCAGCAGTACGGCTGCTAAGCAAGGGCTTCTGAAGGGTCCCTGCATAGTGTTGGTGAGCTTGAGGATGTTGCGTTCGCGCTGCGGATTCAGAAGGGCTGTTGGGGCTGAGGCATGCAAGGACTCTTGGTGGAGGACACTCACGACAATCAGTCGCTCTGGCTGTCGTGTGCCCTCGAGTCCGAAGATTTCACGAAGCTTGATGGATGCGATTCCGTTCACCTGTTCAACCAGTGCTGAGCTAGGCCAGCAAAGACTAGCATGCCAGATACAACGCAATACAAACTACTCAAAACCAAGCAGAAGCCAGACAAGCATTAATGCCACACTGGATGATTGATACGTGGTGCTGGGTGCATTGGATTAAAGAACAACTTTCAATTTGGAGGGGTAGCATTCCAACAGTGTTTGCCTGCTCAGCTACCTGTCCCCCCAATCACTCAGCGGCCTCCAAACGGGAAAATCCCAAGTGAGCCAAAGCTTCCAGGCGCCCACCCACGGGCCTTAGAAGCCATCGCGCCTCCTGCCAGGATTGTACATGTGGGCACACGTACAAATTGAAGCCGAACCCGAATTCTTGTCCTTGTTCCAATCACGCCGTGAACATGGAACATCAAAGGCCGACGACGTAAGCCCTCAGTCACGGCCATGCGCAGGACGTCCTCGGCGCGTAACACCTCTCAGCTGCCGTCCTGGCAACACACAGACTGCCTGCACTTCGATGCGCCTTCTACGCCTCGAGAGGTTCACCTTCATTGTGACGAGTCTCGACGTAGCTATCACCAAAACCAAGAACAGAGGCTGATCTGGAACAATTTTGCTATGTCTTTCCAACCAGCCTTGGTCCATTGCTGGGCTGGGTATTGGCAGTGAATGCGCAGAAAATGGTGAAGTGATCTGCAAGCTGTCAGTGCCATGGTCGATTTGGAATGATTTGGTCAACGACCGTGTGCCTCGCGGCTCTGCTGAGGGGAGCCATGGCGGGCGCCAAGCTTTGGGGTCCGACAGGACCCAGGTAATCAGGAACCGGGGCGAGGGCCTACTCTGAGGAACTGCCCAGCGTTTAGAGTCTCGAGGTCACGGATGTCCAAGCGAGTCAGTAGACTACCAAGACAGGTTTGTGCTCCTAAAGGCTTCCAGAATAAGGTGCTCCTTTGTCTTTGAAGGCTCTTAGGCCAATTTAGGGTTTGATTTCTGTGGCTGAGGGTTTGCGATAAGACAAGATGCTCAAATTTCGTCTGTGCGATTATTGGAGACCAAGGACTGGGTACAAGCTGGGGTTGTTGCGCTTGGACCACAAAGCCCCGTGATCGGTCGGCCTGCCAGCACGGGAGATGCCCACAGCCCCTGAAGCTGCAAACAGTGCAAACATGCGCAGACAAAACAGCAAGAAAGAGGCACTTCAGGCAAAGGCCTCAGGTCACGAAACCAGATTTCCGCTACCACCAATCCACCACGACGCCCCCCATCACTGTTGCTTGAACTACCCTGACGGCGCATGGCAAGCAACTCATTTTATCCATGATGTCGGGGCTGCAACTTTGGCGGTGGGACCGGATGCGAACACTGCGACCTCATCGTCTGATGTTTGCGCTCTACTCGGTTCACGCGACGGTCTGGTGATCCGGGCAAGGTCTAGGCACACTGCTCGCAGCTGGTCCCGGGCAGTTCGTTATTCAAGACCATCGGCAGTCCCAACAAAAACTCAATCCCCGACCAAGAAGTTAAGGTCACTCTCCTTTCTCGCCGTGCATCTTAGGGGCAAGAGCTGTCGCTCAAATCATCTTCGAGAAAGAACTTGGGCAAACAGCCGAAGCCCGCTGAAGAGCATCAATGAAGTCGCTGCATACCGAACAAGATCTCAGCCATGTCGCAGTTCGCCCTTTTTTAGTGAGGAACCCTCTCCAAAACAACCGAGTCTGTGGAACGATGGGACGCCGCGGTCGAAACTGTCTGCTGACGGAAAGAGGCAGGACTCCAAAGGAGGCCCCTCGGTGCAGGGTCTCCAAAAACCTCGTAAACCTGGCAGGCCTGCTTGCAAAAAACCACAACCCCCTACAAGAGATGCTGTGACCCAAGGACCTAACTTTAACTCTCCTCCGCGCCTCTTTGCTGCGTCCTGATCGAATTTCCTACTGAGCTCGCCACGTCCAGCAATTCGAAACAGTGAGGGGCTCTGCGCAAGGCAGCTATGCCAGAAGCCGGGTGTGGCATGCTCACTGGTGAGGCTCGCTGAAGACCCGGAAGCATGCAGTGTCCGTGCTCATCGACTCATCCTCATGCTTGGACTCTGTCTGAACACTACTCGAGATCTTCAAGTGCCTGAACTTCTCAACGCCCCCCCNNCCCCCCCCCCCCCCCCCCCAACCTCTGACCTACTTACATATCCCGCTTCAAACTCCAGGAGCCTGTCTTGCGATCCATCTGTGCACAGCACAGCCATTTCGGGAGCTCCCAAGCCCTTCTCCCTGCAGGCCCTGGTGTAGTGGTGCTGCGCCTATGCAGTGCTATGCTTTCCCAAATCTCCTCTGGAGCCCAAGTGGCTTGGACAGGATTTCTGCTGTGGCTTTCGGGCCTGCAACGTTGCGATGCACGCCGAATGTTCTAGAGTTCAAGCTCGCAGATGCCCGGAAGGTGTGTTGTTCTTGGGCTGTGTGGGCTGTTCAGCAATCCGCTGAGAAAAAACTATGCTTTCAATTAGGTTGTACTATAATGGGAACCCAGAGACCTGAAGCAAACAAGCGTGTCACTAAACCACCCAGGCTTCTTAGGTAGTGTCGGGAAGTATATTATAGTATATTGAAGTTCAGTCACGGCCGTCTTCACATTCAGTGCCTCCCCTTTGAGCATGGGGCTCGAAGTTGGGAGCGGGTTAAGGGTATGTCAGATTTCGGGCTCGGGGTGGGCTTAGGGTGGGGTCTTCCGTCTGAGGCATCCTCGCAAGAGTTCCTTTGCTTGGCTCCTTTGGCCCTTCGAATTGCGCCCTCCGGCGGTGCAGAGATCCGGGCGGAGCTGGAAGCTTCTCAAGTCCACGAGAAACACCAAGAGCTTGGGCTAGTTCCTGAGTACAACCTTCTTGAACTTACGACTTCAAGTGGCAACTGAAGACCATCGGGCGAACGATCCAACTCAAAATCCCCAAAATCACGGAAAGCAGCCGCACAACAGCACAGCCTCCCTAAACCCTGAGCACGCCTCAGCTCGCCCTGTGCCGAACAAGTCTTCTCGGACTCATCCCCCACTTTAAGTCTGAGTTTGATGTTACTTGTTGACCTTTCCTTCAGAATTCTTTAAATTTGGATTTTCTTTGGATGCTTCCAGCGTCCCATCTGCCAAGAGGACCTTGTCGCATAAACAGTTAGGTAGAAACATCTGACTCACGCAGGCAAGTTGCACTTCGACAAACCTGCCAAGGCAGGATGAAGCTGGCACTATGACCCGCAAAATGGGAAACTTCAATTCAGGGCCTTGCAGCCAGCTTGGAAGACCAGTGTGTTGAGGGTTGCATAGCTGCTGACCCCTTAACTGAGCATCAGGCTCTGCTGTTCCTGTCCATCCCAACCCAAAGCCTGCTGCCGAGAGCTCTCGCCTACTTTGATGACGAAAGTTCTTCCATCGAAACCCGGAGCTGCAACTGCTTCCGGGCACCAAGTCTTGAAGCCGAAGCCGAAGCAAGTGCCGCTACCTGCTGCGCCTTCAGACTGGACCTCGACTCTTTGACAACCATCTCCCTGAAACACCAGCAAGGAAGCAAAGACATGTCGAGCGCCGTGCTCGCCGATCTTCTCTAAAACACCCATGCAAATAAACCCTGTGCCAAACCCATCCCGAGCCGTATGAGGGAAAGGGCAACACGACGGTTGCCTGCATCACTTCTTGACGAGAACGCGCAGGACCTCATTTCGTAGTGCATCTCAACAGAGGCACATGACTGACAGCGATCAGTCTTTTACGTTAGATACCCAAAGCTCTCTGCCTGCCAGGACACATGATTCAAGTAGCTAGCCGGATGGGGCAGGGCTTGCGGTGAAGGAGACTCTTCTCTTTTCCGATTGCGCGACTGGTGACGAGCCTCATGGAAGAACGCAAGCCGTACATGTGTACACGGAGCGATACTTCCAATTGGCAGATCTGTCCCAAATTGCGCCCCACGCGAGTGCCCCCTCGTGGGTTCTGGCGCATCGCTAATGCTGAAACTTCTGGCTGACCAGGTCAAAGGGAAACATCCGATGCTGCAGCTCCTTGGGGTCTGGACCCCAGTCGCCACTTGTGATTCATTTGGCTGCAGCCCTGATGAAATGCACGGTTCTCAGCGAGAATGTAGTAAGAGAAGGCTCCGCGAGGGAAGTCAGTATCGCGACAGGAGCGAAGTGGATTCAGCATCCCTGCCCCAAGATGCAACAAGCCCGCGAATACAACGGGGAAAAACAGCACGCAAATGACCTCTACGGCAGCAGTGACGTATGTCTGACGGCTAAGAGCCCGTGCAATGACGACGGCAGAGGTAATTCCTTGCAGAACATTGTGCATGGCAACCACAATGTACAGGCCGTGCATGTAACGAAGAGGAACCTGCGTGTCGACATATGCCAATGTTGCACCCAAACCTCCTCGTGCCTCACAGCAAAGCCGTTGAAGCTCAGGCATCGTAGTGACGGGAAAGGGCAAGCAGCTGCCACCCTGGTCGACCGGGCCTTGCGCCAAATGCGCGATGTATGAAGTGGCCCAGGCCCAGACCACTTGACCCTTGGAGGGCAGGAGAGCTAGCACCTTGCGCTCCTCCTCCTCCAGGAGCCCGCACTGCAAGAGATCATTCAGATCCTCATCCTGCATGGCCTGCTTGTACATCAGCTCGTGTGACAAAACAGCCCATCGGAGCATCCGCTCACGGACAAGGGTGTCCTCAGGCGAGTCACTTGGAAAGTAGCTTGTCAGAAGTAAGGTGAGGTCGTTGATTGCACCCCAAAGTCGTCCGATGCAGTCGTTGCGCATTGCCCACCACCGATTGATGCAGGCGGCCAAGAAAAAGCCCAAAAGGAACACCTTGCATGCACTTCATGGGACTTCAATGCTTCACGGGTTCCAAGGTCTCACCCAAACCCAGGACTGGCTGCCACCCTTGCTTGGAACGGCTCATGAGTCATGGCCTTCATGAAACAAGAACACCAACACGAGTCTGATGTAACTAGGGCGCCGTCACCGTACGCACCGAATGCGTCATGTTCACCAAGAGGTCCCTGGTCGCCTCCGAGAAGGCGGGCCTCCCGGCCCCAGTGAAGTGATAAATCAGCAGAGCGAAGGTACAGCTGGACACCGCGTACCACCATGTCCTGGATGCGAAGGAAGTCACGATCGAAAGGAATGCTGACATTTGCTGACTCTCTCTCAGGATGTCGGGTTCTAGCAAACTTGGGAAGACGGACTTGGGTCCGGCATGGTCTGGCCATCACCAACTGAGGCTCCCACCGACTGCGCCTTCTCAGAAAGGAGGCGGTGGTGCTCACCGCAGCAAGGATACCAGTCGTCATGAGGCTGTCGTCATCCCTGTACTTCAAGACTTGCGTGTCGAAGTAAGTGACCAACTTGTTCGGTTTCAGCCTCTTTTGGAAGTCAGCCTCGGACATCGGCACTGACGGGGCAGCGATCTGCCGGTGTCGCGGAGGGAAGCCGGAGGGGCCGAAGGCCAGAGGAGAGAACGCACGGGAACTCGCCATCGCCGGAGTCAGGGCCGAAACCATGGGCCACATGGCGTCTTCCGAGGCTGGAGGCTCCTTCCACTCGCTCCTACGGCTTCTGCCTCTGCCTCTGCAGAACCGGGAAACGACAGCCAAAGCATCCCGAAAGGCTCGAGCTTCTCGGCTGAAACTCGGCCGTCAAATGCCCAAAGAATAGTGTGTCTCTCTGCCTGCCTACGGAGCCTGACTTACACACCCGTCTCGATCTATGCATGCTGCTGGTGCATCCAAGGACACGGTATAGGATACACGCCGTCCACCGGCCACAAGCTTTTTCGGCAGTGTGCATCCCAGCTTCGTTGAAGCGGGCTCGAGCTCTCAAGTCTGTTCTAGGATTCTAGGATATGTGCAAGGTTTGCAGACTTGGGCTTCCGGGTGAGATTTAAACCAGAACCACTTCAAACGCCCGACATCCTGAGGCGCCGTCCGCCGCGGCGGCGCAGAGCGTGGCGGCGCCCGCGCCAAATGCCAGGGCGAGGACCTCCGACAAGTTCCGATATTTGTGGGATTCTCCCGGCAGCTTGGGGGGATGGATAGGGAAGATGATGACGAAAAGGGTCTGAGCTGACCCGAGAACACGCTCACAGCACCGAAGGGCACTCCTCCCCCGAACAATTTGCTTCAGCGAAACCGACAACCCCTCGAGCTGCAGGCCTGGACCTAAAGCCCTGAACCGGACCGTCGACGATCCAAGAGCTTCGGGCCTTGCTCCTGCCCTTCTCCATGCTCTGCGTTCTTAACTTCAGCTCCTGCCAGGGTCCACTTCCAGGCATGCCTCATGCTCTACAAGGCTTTGGAGTCCAGGCCCTGCTGGGCTTCACATGCTCGGCCTCGAACTTCTTCTCCAGCTCCGATCCATCGAGGAGATCAGCCTCGGCAGCTGCTCGTGGCGTGGGAGTGCCGGGGCAAGACGAGCCAAAAAAGCCCAAAAGCCGATACACGCTCTCTTGCGGTGGCTGCACTTTGGCTTTGCGTCCCTGCAACTTGCCCTCCTGATTCCATGCTGCTGCACTCAAGAGGCTGGAAACTTCTCTAGTGGCGTTTCGAAATGCTCCGGAGCGTGCCCACATCACATCTGAAGCTCTCGAGTGGCAACCTCGGCATTTCTTGGCCGCCGGGCGTGCTCGAGCGGCAGGGAGGAGAAGCTATCCATGGACGAGTAGCCCTGATTCGCAGCACTTCCAAAGCAGGAGCTGATCTGGCTCTCTTTATAACGAGATCTTGTACATCTTGTAACCAACGGCCCTGAAAACTGCGCAAGCATGGTTCGCGTTCGGGATGCTTGTGAAAGATTCGCGTAGTGGGTGGTCCAAGCAACATCTCACTTCACTTCACTTCACTTCACTTCACTTCACTTCGCTTCGCTTCACTTCACTTCATTTCGGGGCTCAGGAGACCTGTCAGCTCTCCCGGCCGATTGGCCCACCACCGTGTGAGGGGCTTGTTGGGGAGATGTGAAAACAAAGCCACATACCCGCTGTCAAGAAGATTTGATCGAAATCCCTTTCGGCCCTCTCACCCGGCAACCTCTCTCTCTATCTCTCTCTTCTTCGTGATTCTGGGCTGCCCCTCATCTTGCAGCGCTCTCCTTCGTCGATCCATCCAGGTAGGATGTCCGGGCAGAGTCGGACGCTCCATCGGAGTAGGACACGCCGTCCGCGTCGGACACGCCGGCGACGTAGGGAGTTCCATCAGAGTAGGACGACCCGTCCACGTAGGAAGCGCCATCCTGGGTGTGCTGGAGCAGGCGTCCACGAAAGTTCCACGAAGTCTTAGAAAGCTTGGGTCGGCCAAATCTGGTGAAAGGAACAAGTGCAGAATCCATCTTGAGGAGGGGCCCTGGGGACGAGGTTGCAGAGGACACTACGAGACTGTGGGGCTCACTAGAATTCGGGCGGCAAGCTTCGATGTATACCAATACCGCCGAGCATCATCGTAGGTCCCCAAGTCTACGGGAAGGTCGGAGACGTCGGAGACGTCCGAGTAAGAGTCCGAACCTCGAGGCTCCCCCACTTCTCTCAAGGGGAAGTCTACAGAGCCTCACGGGCGCCAGGCCCTCAAAACAGATTCCTTCCTCTGCTGGTAAAAAGTAGAAACTAACAGCCTGCTACACGCATCTGAAAACCCCAAGGAGTGACGGCTGAATGCTTCACCGATTCAATGCCGCAAGCCTCGAAGTTCTGATTTACGGAGATCTTGCAGGGCATCCTTGGCCAGAGTTGAATTAGGGCCTTAGGTGAAGTCCAAGCGGCCCAGACCGTCATCGCTGCCGGGTGCCTCCAGTGCAGAACCCGAAAAATGTGCATCTCGGGGGTCCCAGAACGATTCCTGGGCCTGGGAGGATGATGGCTTGCATAAACCTGCGTCTATCTAGGTCCCCGAAATGTGCAGCCAAGTTTGGAGCCGTAAGTTCGCCATTGCTAGAGGATCCTGGGACTTTCTTCCGCACACTGTGCCGTGTGCACGGTTGAGGCATGTGAGAAGGAGCCCAGCAGGAGCAGGAACAGGTTTCCACGGCGTGGGGTTTGAAGTTGTGGTGTCCGTAGCTCATGACATCTCGGTGCCGAGAAACTGCGAAACACTGGAATGCTACTAACAGTTGCTCGTCCCTGCGGCCTTAAAGACCCCAAATCATTCAACACACCTTTTCACTCAGGCTCGAAACCTTTGAAAGTAGCCCTCAAAATCTTGAACACAAGATCCCTCTGCGTTCAGTGCGGCGCCTGGGTGGTCGGATGCAGCCGCCTCGTACGGGACTGCTGGCCTGCGCCGCAGGTCGCCGTGCACCTGGGAGGTTTCGGTCGTTGGGGACGGGGAGGGAGCCTCTGAAGCCTTCAGGGCTCACCAAGTTTGGGGCTTGGGCCAAGGGATTCTGTGATTCAGAATCATGGTCGTAAGAGTTCAACGCGGCCTAAGACCACGAGAAGAGCAGGCTTCAGCAAGCAAGGGGTTTCTTGAGCAGACGGAGCCAAAGTGGGCATGCACAGAGTTAACAAGCTGGCAAGGATACCCACCCATGCTACTTTCCATACTCCTGCGAGGCAGTGGATCATTCATACAAGTCATATTCAAGTGCTAGCGAATCCACCAAAAACTAGCTGAATGCCATGAACCCTCGGTCTTCTAAGATTTCTTCAAACCCCCCGCGCGGCAGAAGCTGAGCCCCGTCACGGGCCGTATTCAGACCAGCTTGTCCAGAGGCAGTACGTCTTGTCCGTACCTCAGCGACGGTCTCGGGGTGTGGTCCAGGATAGCCGGGTAACTAGAACCGCCAGCCATGACAGTATGCCGTCCGGCTTCGAGGAGCTATAGCTGTTGTTGTTCAAAACCAATCCGAGTGGAGTTAGTGAGGCATTGCTTGGAGCAGCCACGCGCTGTTGGGGGAGTTAGAGGCTCATGGCCAAACCTCCACGCTCAGCGTGGAGCTTCGAGCGCTGAGGGCCAGGGGGCCCTGGTAAAGTCCAACTCCCTGCCCCCCCCCCACAAACACCACCAAAGCGTAATTACTGCACACCCTGCAGCAAAAAAAAAAAGAAGTGCCCAATGGATTGAATGCCCTTGGACTCGCGAAATCTCGAGGCCAGGCTCCTGAAACTTCGCTAAGACAGCGCAGCCCTCCACTGGGGCATCGGCACGTCCGGGGGCATTTTGCTACTTCCACGGCGTTGCCGTGATGGCAAGCCTGGCCGTCAGCAGGTCTTCGCTTGAGGGTCCCCTACTGTGTCTACTTCGGCGGCCACGGCGGCCCCATGCGGAGTTCACGGAATCCGAATGTAAGTCTTCAGGATGCGGAGTTGCAAAGAACGTCGTGTTTCGAAGCTTCTTCGGGCTGTGACGTTTTTGGGCTTGGGGTCATCAAGAGTGGCAGCAGCACAATCAAAATTTGGACTTGCGGGTTCAGCATCCCACCATTTAGACGAAAAGAACCACTCCAGGAGGCTTGTGCGCCTGCCCACCACAGGCGGGATGCTGGGAGATATGTCGGACTCGCTGGCGTTCGCCACCACACCTGCGAAAAGATAGATCTCTGAAAAAATCGTCATCCCTGATCACCAGTTTATTAAAGGACACGGATGGAAAAACAACCACACGCAATCTCGGAACATCCTACTGATCCATGCCCACTCAACCCCAAATTCAATAAAAACACCTCGGTCGGGAATCAATACCCTTGACAAGAAGGTATGCGGACGGACAAGACGCAGCTGTGCCGCTCCATCGCGAGATCTCTGTAACCAAATTATACCTCCCAACTCCTGAAGCTTAGATCCGGTACCAACAAAGCTCCGTCCCCACATCGTCATGTGCTCATAAAAAAAGCGTGACGTCCTCAAGCACCGAAGCACAAGAACCGCAAGAACCGCGCATCGGCTCCAAGCGGCTGATTGCAAGCCCCCCACTCGCTCCAGTCCTGAGAGCTCTGGATTTTTTGGCTTCCACACCCTTTTAAGGGGCTCAAGAGTCTTATAGAGTCTTATGATGGAAGATGGAAGATGAAAAACGACAACCCTCAAAACCTCGACCCAGAATCTGAACACCCCAAAAATGAGCAGGAACCACAGGCTTGTACTCTCGAGCAGGCCAGGATCATCCAAGGTTTCGGGATCTGGCTTTCTGATCTTATTCTGTCGGTCTGTTGATGCCCACGTCTTCAAGGCCTCCGCACTTGCCTCCAACCCTCAAGGCCCCCAGAGCCTAAGTCCTGAATCGAATCGAGACTCCGTCCAACTCTATCGCTTGCTTGTTAAGCATTCTCTGGCGCAAGCCCGGGGCCCCGACAGTCCAAAGGCAGTCGGTCGGAATGCACTCGTCGTGGCAGGGCTGAAGCGGCAAACGGAAGTGGAGTTGGGACTATGGCGATGGTGCCAATGAGTACAGTGAAGACAAGCATCATGGCCACATTATCGCGGTCAGTTCCGCGATGCTGATCTGGATGTTGATTTTGTTGGTGCTGGTGCTAGTGGGGCTGGTGATGACGACGATGACGATAGTTTTGACCAAGCGCTGCCCTGCCTTATCCTGGCGAAGTTGCAAGTTCCCGACAGCAAGGCGTTAGCGCGACTTGGTGATCCAAACGCCTCGAAAATCTTTCAGCTGCAGGCTTTTTGTGCAAACGTCAAGCCTGGCTGGCGCACTGCCGTGTGATGGACCTTTGCTGCAGGTTGAGACGGTTGAGAGGCTGCAATCAGGAATTGACTGCAGACGCACGATGATCGCCCTCGTTTGCTACTGTACTTAAACACGATGCCAAGAAGCCAACATCCCTTCCGCTCTTAACTGCTGTTGCAGACGGAATCATCCACATAAGGCCCAAAGCTCAAGTCCCTTTAAGCAAGCAGAAGTACGCCGTGTTAAATTCCCAAACCTAGAGATTGCGGGATGTCTTGGCCACCGGCAGAGCTGCAGAGCAACCAAAGCCGCCCTTCGACGGCGGCCTGGAGGACATGTCATGTCAGAGAAAGGTTTGACGGAGGTCAGACCTGCTCCGGCTTTTCTCGGAGCGGGCGATTCCCTCTACGCGGAATCACTGCCAGCTTCAAGAGTTGACACTTGCTTGGGTAAGATCGTGGGTACACGATTCCTGCGGCCTGGCGCATTGTGGGATAGAGCGAAGCCGAAGATCGAAGGTCTCAACTAATTTGATCCGCTCCAAGACTCTGAGGGTTATGACGAGGGATGACACCTGCCACCGCCAGCCCTCGCCTTATCCGCTTGAGCTTATCTCCGAAAGGTTTCGAGACGAGGCGCTGAATGATCGTCCGCTCCTTCACCTGCTGTCCGGTGCCACACCTGGGCTGCATCAAGGCCCCGCGTGGGGCCCGCTTCCAGTCTCGTGCGCTTGTATGTCCGGAGCGTATTCGTGCTGGACTCAGCCGATGTCACTACCTGGGAACCCCAGAAACTAGAACTTTAGACAGGGGTGAAGAGTACACCACAAGGGTGCGTAACATTCTACCACACGCGTGACCATGCAATCACTCGGCTTCTGGGACATATAGGACCATAGGATACATATTCTCGGCTCGCCGTTCCCAAGTGCAACCCATGCACGCAGCGTCGCAGTCGCCCCACTCGCTCCAGTCAGAGAGGATGCAATCCACCGCGGGCTTGTTGTAGAGGTGGCACGGATCCACCTCCGAAGACGCAAGGGGCTGAAGGGGCGCTTTCAAACGGCAGGACTCGCAAGGTAGAGAGGGACCAGGGCTCTCGGAGGTCTACTGTTGCAGACACCTGAGCATTCGGGCCAAAACTTCGGCAGTTCTACCAGCGCCTCGCAGCAGCTGCCTGTACCAAAGCAGCCCTGGCGTCGATTTCAGCTAATGGCTGGGGGTCGTGGGGAATTGCTTCATGTCATGGCCTTCTTTGCTACAGGCCTGTTGAAGCTGACATCGTCTCGCACGCACTTTGCGCAAAAACCTGAAGAGCCTGAGCCCTGAATCTCTAGCCTCTGTCCTCGAAACGAAGCTGAATGGGCGCAGATGCAGTGGGAACCAGGCCTTCATGGAGAAGAGGAAACGCCGGCAGGTCTCTCCTCCCGACTCTTCGACCTGGCGATTTTTCCTTCGGCCCTCGGTCCCCTTCCTTGCATGGGGCCACGAATTTTGCGTGCAGACCCGGCCTTCAGTCGAACTTCCACCGAGGACGCCTTTCTGTGGCTACTTGGGGGGATGCAATGGGGTTGCCTTGGGACCCCCTTTGAAGCATCTCGCGGTGATTTCTGGCTGTTTTGAGGTTTAGTGGCTTGAGCGTGGTTTGAGCATCGGGACCTTCAGGACAAAAACTTTGCAACCTAATCCTCCGACATTAGACATGAGGAGCGAGCTGCGCATCTCCGATTCCACAATCAGGGTCTTTCCTCACTGACTGCTCTTCGTTTGTGTTAACGACTTTGGCGGCACATCGCCTAGAATGTACTGAATGTACACCGAACATGCAGCGAATTCTGAACTTGTCACCTTTGGCTGCGGTCACTTCGCCTGCCTGCTGCCTACAGAGTCCGTGCATGTCCAAGCAAGCTGTGGCTAAAAGCAGAAAGTGCACTAAGGAGACCATCAGGCCGCAGATCAACATCTCGAATGAATCCTGATCTTCACACCCGTTGCACAAAACACTGGAGTGGAGCCACGGGCAAACGTGACAACCAGTCCCATCCGGCCTCGATAAAGAGAAGCGACACCGCCCTGTGCAGGCACCGTGCTTTGGGCTTGGCTGGACTTCGCCGGCTCGGTCGCCGCCGTGATTCACCAATCAGCTCAAAACTGACTTGATCATGAAAACCCCCGGCCGAAGCCCCAACCTAGTTGAAACATCATTCCATCAAAAACCGCACCTGCTATCGTCGTCGTCGTCGGCAGTGGTCGGCGACTGGCATTTCAAGGATGCCAGTGTTTGCTCTGGGAGAACATTGAATGCGACATCGAGCACAACATTGACATGAGGTCCCGGTACGGCCCCAAGCTGTAAGCTTGCAAGCTGCTCTATGGTATGTAGCGGCACATTTGTGTGTGTGTGTGTGTCTGATCTTGGAATCAAGCAGGATCACCATTATTGCGAAGAAAACAACAAGAAAGAGTAGAGATCTTGTTCGACCAGCACCCCCATGCTTTGAGGGAACAGCAAAATGGGAGCCTGCTTGGGGAAGAGACTTGGAAAGATTTTGCCGACCGGAACCCTGCGGCTGCCAAGCCCTGACTGGAGTTCGATGAAGGCTGCCGGCGTGACATCAGGCAGCTTCATGGAATCGGGACCTTGCAAGGGCTCTATCTGAAGTAAGCACTAGATCGCCGGCTTGACTGAATTCGAAGCATGCTCCGGCCCTCAGCAGCAAAACCAAAAGACGCAATAGGTCCAAAAAGCGAAGGTTACCAACCCAAAATTAAGCCTGATCGCTGCCGTCGAAATTTGCAGACTCCAACACGCAAGGACAAACGAAAGTTCATCGGAAGTACCGACAAACGGAAAACAGAGGTTTCTGTCGGGTTGCCAGCATCGCCGGCCGCGAAGGTTCCGCCACCCTCGCCGGCGGCTACCTTGAGAAGGGGACAGAAATGCGTGCCGGTTGGGGTGGGAAACAAGCTTCGAATCAACTGGTCTCGTGGTGTAACCGTTAGCACTCTGGACTCTGAATCCAGCGGTCGCGGTTCAAATCCGCGCGGGACCTTCTTCGCGCGGTGTGAGCAGACGAGCTCTGGCTCCACTGCAGTGCTGAGGACTTGCCTTCGGCATCTTTTTCCTTGTGCGCATGTGCAGTCTGCATCTAGTAGCCAGTTATTGAATCGGCAGCGCTTGTGCAGTCTGCATCTAGTAGCCATTTAATCGGCAGATATTACCGAAAGTCCCGGGGGAAGAAAAACGGTGTCCCTTCAGATCCACCGTGAAAGGAAAATATCACCCGCGAGAATTTCGGGCCGAAGGCCACAAGCCAACTACTTCAAAAAAAACCTGCCAAATTCAGCAGGTCAACAGCTAACTCAGGAGCATCTTACAGCTTACGGATCGTCATGTACGCCTGCACGTAGTCCCTGCGAAAATCCTGAGGATTTTTCATGATACCCTCGTTGATGGCCCTGTAAAGCTTTTCGACGATGGTGTCTGCCTGATGGCTGACGGCGGCAAGTTTGGAGATCCAGCTGTTGTAGCAGCATGCTCTCACACTGCGAACATAGGAGTCTGCAAACCTTTCGGGGTCGTGCTTGAATGTTTGCCAATAAGGACACGGGAGAACATGTGTCGAGAAACTCTCCAGCACAAGCCCCTCGAATGCTCCTCCTTGGAACGGAGCCTCGAACTCTTCGCGCGACCGCAGGAAGACTGGCATCACAAAGGCATCAGCCTCTTTCTGCGAGATCTCACCACGACGCAGAAGGGTTTGCAGAGTCTCCACAATCACGTCGGCGAGCTTTTGATACGTGGAGCTTGGGCATGATTCAGCATCAAAGACAGGAACCACAAAATGCAAGGAACCACCCGAGACAAGCTCTTTGCTGCGAGATCTCAGATTGCTCTCCCCGTCCTTGGCTGCAAGATTCTCCCACTCCAGTCGCATTGGATTGCTCCGCTCCAGCTTGCGAAAATAGAGATCGCCCCCATTAAAGAAGCCAGAGCCCTCTGGTGCATGGGAAACCCAATGCATTGCAGTACCTGAATATCCGAGGTCGATGGAGTTCGATGGGATCACTTGCTCGTAGAAGCTGCGTCCGCACATGAACATGCGCACCGAGTGCTGGTTTCCGGCCTCGGCATGGGTTGCAGGAGAGCTGGGGAATGGAAGCTGGTCTTGTCAGCTGGTTCTACATGCCCGAGGGATTGCAGCAGCAACTTTGCCGAATCCCAATCATTCTGAGGGAGGTCAGTGAAAAAGAAATCTATCGGAGCCCTCTCGCCGCTCTCGCCTGCTGCAATCAGTGCAGAGACGATTGGCAACGAGTTCTTGCCTTGCGAGCAACCATAGTCTGCAACTCGACGTCTGCTGGTCATCTCACTGACCTTACCCTTCCAATTCTTCATGTCCTCCAAGAGACCATTCAAAACCAGCAGCAGAGACTCCGCTTGGCTCTGAGATGCCTTATTGTACTCGCCATCCCCGAACATCACCGAACCATGTGGAATCTGGGACACTAGTCCGCTCCGAAGAGGCGGTTTCGTGCCAATCTTCAGATTCACTGCTGGCACTTGAGCGGCAGTCCGCGCGACTTGCCTGCAATCCTTCGTCGATGTTCCTATCCAACCAATCGAGAAGATCATGATGATACTGCAGCAGACTGCACCTCGGATCGCTGGACGAGCCCCCATACCAGCAAACCACAGGACCGCCGGTGAAAGCACAACTGGCGCCGTGTCGACGCAAGCGCGTAAACACAAGCTTGTGCCAAATGACAGCCGGAAGGAGTAGTTAAAACCCGCTTGCAGCAACTCAGGCAGCCGGCTTATAGGGCAGTCTTGAAATAACAACTGGAAGTCGGAAGAAGATCGAGCTGCGTACCTACGGCTTGTAAATATGAACAGTCTTGTGCGTTCACTGTCGAATGTTCCTGCAGCCCCTGGTGCCAGAATTCGATGTTGTTGCGGGCCTGCCAGGGCCAACCCTCCAAGCTCCTGACGGCGATCGTGGAATGCTGGCTCAAGAAGTAGTCCTGCAGTGGGATGCTTTGGCTGCAACTCGAGATGATGTTCTCATCAAGCCGTTTCGGAATCAGAGCGGAAGCAGGCTTCCGAAGCAACTCCTGCCGCACAGGCAGGCTTATTTCTTGTGGGCATTCTGGGTCATGCACAATGAATCTTCATCGTGGACTGCGATGAAATTGCTGTGGACCAAGATCGACAACGGGGTGTTAGCCCTGGGCCCTGAAGCAGAGCTTCCTCGTAGCCGGTGGCGAAGATCGACATGCCTGCTTCACTGGCGGCACCCACAGTTAAGCCTCGGTCACGGGGCTTGGAGCGCGGGGCAACTGGAGGGTCTCCCTTTGCTGTTCATGCTGTTCACCGTCACAGGCTGACACTTATCCAGCAGCGCCAAACAGAGAACGACATCCATCATTGGACGAAACCGCACCCCGTAAGATTGGAAGCAGAACTGAAGCCCGACTGCAAAGCGCACGCCGGCGCACTGGGAGTCGTAGAGTCGCTGAGGGAGGTTTGCTTGGACTGGGCTCATGGCCATAGAACTTCAGCATGAGCTTCGGGGCGTGCACCTGGACAGCTGTCTGAAAAGTCCATAGCCCTTTCGAGCTGGGTCCTTCAAGCAAAGAAAATCAAGCCCGGCATCCTACAACCTGACCAAAGCTGAAACCCAACCCTCTATCTCTCTGCATACATACGTACATAATCCTAAAACTCAAAACCCACAAAACAGCCGAAACCCCACCGAACGTGGGCTCGGAGGCGGCACTGCCGAGAATCATATGTAAAGCGACGACCGAAGATTTCACCCTGTAGAGTCTGTTCGGGGTCCTCTTTCGCTCGGTGCGCAATGTCCCTAACAACCCAACAAACAGCACGGTGGCAGAGTGAGGAAGTGCCGACAGGAGCTTCAAGTTCCTGGCCCGGCTTAGGACCTTGAGACTTAGAAACCTGCCTGCCAAGCTCAACAGACTCTCAGACTGTGATGCTTGCTGCCCATGCTGCTCCTCTTTCCATGAACCCACGCAGGACAGAACACAGAAACAGACACGCCACAGCCGGCTGCTCCCAGGCCCCTCAGCCACTGAAGTGCACAGTTGGTTACATTAACCTGAGGGCTTGGCGAGCTCATGGGTCACCGGATCCACCAAGGAGAACTTGAAGATCACTGCCGAGCCCTGGGTCCACAGTCCTAGCTACTTCCATCTTCCGTCCCTTCCACTTCGTCGACTTCCGCCCTTCCTGACAAACCCAAGGGCCGATGCGGCGCCCTTTCTGCATTCAACCTCCTGTTACCTGCTGCTGTCAGTCGCTTGTGAAGCGAACAGCTATTCTCCGAAGAGAGCAACTTTCCTGACTTGCCCCTCACGCCAAATGTTGTGGGCTTCCTCCTACTGCCCTCCACAAGCACTGGAGCACTGATCCGGGTCCCTGGCTCCCGCGACGTTGATCTCGCCGAAGCCACTGCCCTCATAGCTCTTGTCGTCGGTAATGCAGGTCTGGCGACAGCAGGAGGCATGAGTGGAACCGTCTGCCACCGGATGACATGTACCATTGGAACAACCTCGCCAGCACGTGCCTTCCGGAAGTGTGTTGGTCGGGGCTTCATCCGTACACAGGTGTCACTTTGAACGCTGTCAGCCCATTTCCTGCAACTTGACTGTTACCTTGCAGCAGACGTCTGGTGCCAGTACCTACCGGGCTGCGGGCTGACGAGACTTCGTCGGTACCACAATGCGGCAGTCACGGACGAAGGCCGCAAGCCCCATCTGAACTAAGCTCCCCAAACTCCCGAACTTCCGAGAACCCTCATCCTGCCTGGTAGGGGGACCCGGGCGACACTTCCAAATCGACCCACCTGCAGGCGAGAGCTTCGCATGGCTTCGGGCCCAGAGGTCCGGGGTGGGCTCTGGTTGGACCTGGCGGGACCAGTGGGCCCTCGATTGGAACCCTCCAGGCCACGCAGAGTCAAGTTTGGGAGCGCGTGAACGACACCCTGGGCAGATGGTGCGTGACCGATCGTTGAACGATGAGGGTCTGAAAACATGGAACGCATCAACGAAGTTGGTGCCCATGCCTCACCGCCCGGGACCTCACCTCCTGTGTGTCCTTTTGCTAGAGCTACAAACCCGGTGAGTCGAGGTGTGGACCGGATCCCTATCCAAACCGATCCCTTCAGCAAAGCGTCTGGTCTGCGGCTTGGGTACGGAGTGATTCCCCGGATTCCCAAGTCAGAATCCCCCACAAACCAAAACAACCCGGAGTCATAAATTTCGGGCATCCTCGGGCCCCCACTTCCCGGGGCAGCTGTCGGACGGGAACGGGCAGCTTGCCGTTGGCAACTGACGCGAGGCGAGGTGCCGGGTCGACTCTCGAGTTTAGAGGTTGGGGATATTCGTAGTCCTAGCGGCAGCTTGGCGCAGCATAACAACTTCCGGGATGCTATCTTGTCTTTGTCGCCTTCTCTGCAAGTGGAGCTCTTCTGGCATCATCAGGCTTCGCCAATTTTCGGCGAGTCTGTTGAAAATAAGACATGGCCGCCCTCAAAAGGTGTGAGTCAAGCAAACACACAATGAATTAGCCTACGATTGCCCAGTTGAATGCTTATCTTGGTACTAGATTACTAGATAGCTGCAGCCTTTGCATGCCTTCGCTAGTAGTGCGGGACTTGTCGATCTCAGGTGTTCACGCACTGACCTAGCGCAAGGCGGGGTTGAAGTCTCCGCGGATCTGGTGCTCGATGCTGCAGTGGTAAGCCTAGGCAGGTCCAGAGGTGCTGGAAAAACAACTCCCCTGGCAGCCGTTAACGAAATCGCCAGGAGACCAGCTCGATGATGGTACCAGATCCCCCGCAAGCGCCGGGCCAGGCAATCACGCTGGCATGCGTGAGGCCGCCTGCTCCGACTCCGAAGAAATCGAGGGGGCTGGTAGGAAAGCGGTGCCTCACTTAGACACTTCAGAGACCTGCCCGAAGGCTGTGCGATACGGAAGTTACAGTGGCGGCTGTTCCGTGCCTCCTCCCATCGCCACAGAGAACACACGGGGCCAGCCACTGACGAAGATGGCTTTGCCGTGGCATGGCAGACCTGCATCTGCAAATCAGCGAGGCGAGACTCCGACTCCTGCGACCTGGAAACAAAGAAGAAAAACACACAGGCGGATCTCGAGACCGTTTCGCCTTATCCACAAGGGTGTTTGCAAGGCACTGCCAGAGCTCCTGTGGGTGCCCCTGAGGCCCGAACCAAATTGAAACTTGAGAGTAAACTTCGTCCAGCTTCAACTATCTCCAAGATGTCCCACTTGCAAACTTACTAACTGGCGTCATGAAAACTTTGGTCTGTAAGTTGGTAACCTCAGCTTAAGAATTCGTGCTTCAAAGCCCCCGAAGCCTCCACCGTGCCAGCCACCGCTGCCGCAGACCCTCTTCTCGAGGCGATGCTTCAGATTTGCGCCGTATCCCTTGCGTAGGCTGGATCTAGGTGTACAGGGTGTATAGTGCTCGGAGACAGTGATCTTGCGAAGCAGCACGTCAGTGGGAGACAACCGGACCAACAGACTAAGTGAGCGCAAACCAGTCTGATCTTCAAGCGGAGCAAACAGACTTGCAGGGTGAATATCCACTGAATCTAGCGCGGTCTCTCAATATTGTCAGGTCGGCAACAGGTGGAAGGGATGATTAGCACAGCTGGGACTGATGTGCAAACTCTTGCTTGTTCAGGATGATTGCACTTCTCCAGGCTCAGGCGTTGCTCTTGCCCCCATCGGATGTGCAAGCGGCCAGACTCAAGTGCCGAGGATCTGAATAGAACCTTCTGGAAAAATAAAAGCCAGAGATGCTTACGACTGCATCTTAGCCTACCGAATGCCAGGGTACACCGCCGTAGTGAACGAAGTGAATGTGGAACTGCTCGATGCTGCCTGACTCTTTCTAGAATCTTTGCTCTTCAGCCTCCGGGTGATCTTACTGCTTCATAGATTCATAACCCAAAAGATTGGGGGGTCTCGGAAGAGCAAGCTGCGATGGTGCATTGGGTTCACAATCAGTGCGCAGCCGCTGCCCCCACAGCGCCCATGCGCGGCATCCATGCCGGCATTGTAGTAGCCCACCTTACAACTGTCGACGTTGTGGGCTGCCTGACTTAGGTCCTTCAGGTTCGGGTTCTTGGGGGCTGTAGAAAGATGCATTGCCCAAAATGGCCAAGACTGCAGACCGGGCTGCGTTGCCGCCGTTGATATCTTCGACACCTCGGCCACGGCCCCACATCTTGTCGCCACCTCCCAGGCACACGACATGCTTCCTCAACCCCTCAACGCCGGCTGTTGCCGACAAAGTCATTGGCAACAGCTGCCCAAATTAGCCTGTCTTCTTGGGAGGCAGTACGTAGGCACAATCGCAAAAGCAGACCGATAAAACGGAGCCTGTGCCCTGACAGTAGTAATGGCAATGATGTAGAGTTAAAGCACCAGAAGAAAAATACTAGAAGTACGAGTAACAACAATAAGATGAACTAGTTATGATTCTGATAACTAACGAACTCGCCTTGGGCCCATCCGCCCCAGGCGCTTACCACACCGAGCTGATCCCCTTCGGGATCCAACTCGGCGGTGGTTTCGTTGTGCTCGGAGTCCTTTGCAATTGGGAACATGCCGGAACCCCAGAAGACGAATCCCAAAACAACGGCGATGCAGCCTCTAAGGCAATTGCCATGACATGTTGCAAATGTTGGCAGAATCATGACTCGAGGGCTTGTTGGGTGGCCAAAGCCGCGTAGGATAGTAGGATTTCGCACTCTGGGCATCCAGCTTGGTCGGCAGACTCAGCGTTGCCTGTCGACGGTGGCAGGGTGGGCCAGGATTCGGTCTTGCACCAGGGACCCTGCGGTCCTATGCCACTATGCGATGCAAATGATGACGTTCGTCGCTTCAAGGGTGAAATCTGATGGTTCAGGAGCCGAGGCTTTGCGGTTGAAGGACCGCTTTGCTTTGCAGGTCTTCGTTTCCGATCTCACGACTGGGGATTCAAAAGCCAAAGCATGCAGAGTAAGCCTAGCCTTGCAGCTGCAGAGCATTCAGGGCGCAGTGTCCATCTGCACACTCCTGGGGCGGTGCTCCGAAAACCCAGACTGCTCAAGCTCGAAGATCCCATCTAGACTTGCCCGATGCCGGTGGAGAGCGCACGACGTGCTTGCATACCGTTGTACATATGCATGGAACCATGTAGACAGGGGGACAAAGACAGAGAGCGAGAAAGAGATAACCGGGATTAGTGACACAGCAGGGAGAGAGCGAGAGCGAGAGAGAGAGAGAGAGAGGTGACAAACAAATCGGATTGGCTTGCTTCGGTGCCAAAGCTCGTCGTCCATGGCCACAGCTTGCGTCACCTCGACAGTGCAGAGCGTGCAACCAAGAAAAGGGCGCAGTCGCGGTGTCTTTAAAGTGTCTCAAGATTTGCCACTGTAAACAGAAAGCCGGAGGCTTGAAACCCTGTTGCAAGAGGTGGTCATTTGCATGTGCCCGGCATCTGGTACAAGAAATCGTCATCAGGGGCACTAGCAGTCACTGGGGCTGCCGTTTCAGATGATCACTACGACCGTCAAAGAACGTCGGTCAGGAATGTGCTGATGACGAAAGTGTTATTGCCATGGGACAGATACTGTTCATGTTCAGCTGGCACAGCACATGAAGCCGAAGGTTCCCGCTACGTTTCCGAAGCTCGATGCCCCCTGCATGCCTCCTCTGAGGTGGCCGTGACCATGAACACTCCCATCGCCAGAAGCTTGGTCAAAATCGCCATGGCGCTTAAACCGCTTGATCGCATGAACGAAGAGACAAGGGCTAAGTGATCTCGGGCCGCAAAGGAGGCACATTCCAGAATATAAGCAGCAGCTGCAGCAGCAGCAGGAGCAGCAGCAGCAGGAGCAGCAGCAGCAGCATGCTTCTCACCTCCACCGTCGCCGCCAGCACAAGCATGGCAAACACAGTAGGCGCTGCGCCCTCAAGCCCGGATTTAGCGCAGGCCTCTGCCACACTGCGGAAACGCATCGTCTGCGACATGCCTGCAGGTTCTTCCAGGTCACTTAGAAGCTCAAAACAAACTGTAGTCTTGCGTGCTATGTCCAGGATGCTTCGGACACGTCTTTGCTCTGGCAGTGCCATCGGATGGTTGCTAAAAAAATACTGTGTCGAGTTTCTCGTCCTCTTCGTGGTGATGCCCCAAACCGCCGAACAAACAGCCCTCCGAGCACAGAAACTAGCAACACCCAGGCCTGGGTCCGCAAGACCTTAGGTGAACTGAGTCTCTCTTGGCGCTTCCCAACCTCCCTCCAGACCCCAGATACCAGAGCTCAGGAACGAGGTGCGCTTAGGTCTTAGGTTCTGGCCCCGAAGATGGGTCAGGTCAATGTAGCAGGTCGGATCCGTTGTGTCCAAGAGACCGCCCTGGCTTGGGGCACATGCAGCCACTGAAGCGAAACATCAGCAAAGGATTGCTATTCAGAGCTCGCCCTGTTCAGCAGCTAGGACATGATACATCAACATACGGTGAGTTTTGTTCCTCAGCACCCACCAGCTAGCCAGCGGTGCCAACACCAGAATTCGAATTGACCTTCATCGGTTTGCAGTATACAATGGTATACACTGTGTCGGCCAATTGTCACAACATCAGGCCAGAGGCCCCTCTTGGCCCAGGTCTTTCAGTGACCCCGAAAGTATATCTTTTTGGTTTCGCTGTGAGATTTTTACCAGTAGTAGGAACCACAAACCAACAAAAGAACGAAGTAGCAAGGAGCCAAGCAAGGGAGCCACCAAGGCAGCTCTAACGAGGCTACAACACAGGCCTTCACAAGGCCAATCAGCATCAGCGGCTCAATAATGCAATCACTTTGTTCACCCATTTACATGACATGATCGCAGCGCCGATCATATGGGAGGTCTGTGACTCCGGAGAAAGCTGGCGCCCTGCAGAGGGTGACGGAGCCTTTCAAGACTTACTATTTCCTGATCCTCATCAGCCAGCATCTGCAAAGGAGGAGCGGTCTCTGCTCTGTTATTTTCTGGCCTACGACGTAGGCTGAAGCGCAGATGTGGCGCCCACAACCCGACAGGCCCCGGGTCACCAGCCGCTTTGACGCAGTCTTCACACGGACTTCAATCTATAAAGAGTTCTTGGAGATTTATAAATAGTTTCTGGAGTGTATGTTGCCAGAACAAGAAAACAAATTAAAGTGGCCATTTTTCCGTCAGCAGTAAGGTATGTAGTACTACAGAGTCGCTGCGGAGGTGCCTGTCAAGTTTTGTGCATGGGTCTCTGCAGGACATGAGGCCTTCGCACGAGCACTTGCAAATGCCTCGACACTCTCGGCCAGTGCCACAAGTCAAACAGAGTCGGAAAGCTGCATGATAAACTCCCTTCAGTCCTCCCTTGAGAAGGACCCGGAAGACCCCCAAGTTGGGGCGCACCCCGTTGTGGCAGGGCGCCGTCTGCTTCATTGGTCCGGCGCCTGATGCGCACAAACAAGTATCTTCTCCAGTGCCGTTGTGTCTGTTAATTGCCACTAGGAGCATCAGCTTCCGTGCTCATGTGTCCATTCCTCCCGTTCCCTTGCTCTGCTGTGCATGGTTTCTCTTTCTCGTTCCCTTCTTGTTGCTTCCCAATGTGTTTCTCATCCCCCCGCACTTTTAGTCCTGCTACTGCTAGTGCAACCAGTACTGTCGAAATTATCCGTATTGCTTAGGACCATCACGGCCGTTGTCTTGCTGGCCTCGCTCTTGACGTCGTGGATCATCATGTCACTCCACGTTGCTCTGTGATCTTCATTTCCACTACTGTCATCACCATCGTCATCATCATCGCGATCATCGCTATCGCTGTAATAATCGCCATCATCCTTATCATCACCACCCTCATCTTCATCACCACTCTCTTCTGCACCATCGCCATCATCGACCCCTTTCGTAAGGCCAACCTCCAAATCTCCTGGTCCAACATTTCACTTCGTGTAAACAGTGGGGTATCGCGACACAAGTGTGCAATCTACCTGTATGGGCACATGTACTTGCACGTCACCATTCGGGCAGGTCACAGTAGAGGCCAGCTCCCTTGCCCGGGACCTCAGACGAAATGCGGTGCAACGTCTAAGGCTCAGGTGCTTGGGTCCGGGTTCATGGTCTGTGCGGTGTTCAGAAGGCGCGATGCTCAGTACCATGCTATGTTCGAAGAGGGGCTGCGTAAGATCAAAATCAGCTTCAGCAGTAAGCCCGGTGCCGCAATCGTCCGCTCGCGCTGACGGACGCCTCGCAGGATTGCATGCCAGGTCAGAATGACCACACGCCCAAACCACGCATCTCAGCATAGTCAACTGAAAATGTTAGGCAAGGACAAGGAAACACCCGAAAGCCCAGCATGCAGAGAAGCAGCCACCAAATTCCCTGGATGTCTCCAGCCGAGCATCGTTCGCATCAGCCGGTTTGCTGGCTCACCCGGACAAGTCAACGGTCGTCAGCATCATGAGCGTCAGCAACGCACTTGTTTCACATACCAGAGACGAGATGCTGCAAACGTCTGCACAGCTCTGGCAGACTGCTTTTAGCGGATAGCGGATTGCATCATCTGCCTCAGCCGCACTTTCGGCATCTGGTACAGTCTCTATTTGTTCCGGACGTGCCAAACTCAGCCTGCCGGGCTGTGTGTGTCCCGCAGCGCTTCAACAAGATGCTCCCAACAGCCAGCATCACAGCCAGCTGTGTCAGAAAGAGCCTCAATAACCTCTCGCGGACCCGCGTCATGCACATCAGCCGCCCCTCCATAAGCAGAATTTGCCAAGGGCAGGAACGAGAAGCAGCCGCACGGCACCATGCCGTCTGCGGCGTACTGCTTCAACCAGGCGATGCAGAGAACGGACAAAGCTTCCAGCCCCTGCTTTGCATGCATGGGGTCACGCGCTCGAACGCTGGCTTGCGCTCCCCGCTGTGCCTTCACATTGGCCGCTACAATCACTCCAGGATCTCCAGGAGGAAAACCTGAGCCAGCTCGCAGCTTCGAGGTTTCATAGTGAAAATAGGGACGGCACCAGAACTGAGCTTGACTGCCTTGCGCGCACAGCTTGCTCACGGAAGCTTGAACTGCATATCAGGGGCAACATTTGGGTCTCTGTCTTTAGTAATTGGCACTCAACCCTGATGTCTGTCCCTGAGCCCTCAGAATCAAATCAAAGCACACTTACAAGTTGCCGGCCCTCCGAGACTACCCTGTCGACCCTCGACGCGAGGCCACCTTGTCAACGCGCTAAACCATCTCTGCATCCCCAGCACTTCAAGAAGACGTCTGAAAAGCAGAGATGCCCACACTCCCCTCCCGCCCAGGCTCCCGAGCACGCAGTCGACGCTGGGGATGCAGTGCACGTGCTGATTGCAGAGCTTGGCTTCCTCAGTTGGGCCCAGGGCTCAAGTTGGAACGGGCGTCGGGACGGCTCACGAGCTTGGGCGCTCGGTTCGTGCACCGCTGGTAAAGCCAGACGACATCAACAAAATCTCAATGCCGCTTCGCAACAGTGCAGACTTAGTTTCATGATTCGGCCAAAGATGGAAACAAAAGCTTTGAGGGTGCTTTTGGGCGGCC